TAAAAGCCCTGGATAACATTGGCTTAAGCCATGCCACTATATCTTAGAACAAACAAATAGGGAGGAACAGGGGCTGGACCAGAGGGTCAGCAGAGGGTGAGACGGGTAGGCTCCAGCAAGAGAAACAAATGGCTCCTGGCTCAGCAAGAGAAGTGGAAAGGAAGAGAGAGGGGAGAGGAGCAAGTGCTTTATCCCTGCGCCTCCTGCCCTGCAGGATCTCAGCCCCACCCAAGGAAAGCTCTTATACATAATAGCCTTGTGGGGTACCGAGGAAAAACTGGCTTCTGGCTTTGTGCTCAGAGCCCTGTGCTCGGTAGCACCCCACCCCGCTCAAATCAAGGATTGCCCCCATTTCTTTCCTATTGTTTTGATAAAATACTCCATCTAACAAAAGCAATTTAAAAGAGAAAGGGTTTATTCTAGTTTACTGTTAAGAGTAACTTTGAGCTGGAGAAGTCAAGGCTGCCAGACAGAGCTCGAAGCAGCTGGTCACATCACATCTGCAATCAGGCAACAGAGATGAATAGTTCCCCCTTTTCCAGTTTACACATTTTGGAATCCCCTGGTAAGAGAATGGACAGGCCACAATTAAGAGCACGGCTAGGTGGTGTGTGCTGGTGTGCAGCTTTAATCCCAGCACTGGGGAGGCTGAGGCTAGTCTATCAGTATGGGTTCAAGGCCTTCAAGGTCAGCCTGTTCTACACACTGAGTTCCAGACCAGACAAGACTCCGTAATGAAACCCTGTATCAAAAACAAACAAACCAAAAAGAAAAAAGCCCATTTTTCCATATCAATTAAGATAATAAAGAGACTCCCCCCACAGACATGCCCAGAGGCCCACCTGTGAAATGATTTCAGATGCCGTCAAGGTAACAACACCACAGAGAACTATTATTATTCCCATTTCAGCTGAGAATGTAGAGATGCAGGAAGGCATGCTACCCCCACTGAGGGTACACCTACGAAGAAGGTTACCCACAAATTTGCATATCCTTGGCAGATTTAAGGTGACGGAGCCAATGCTGGTCAGCTGTGCACAAACAGAACATGCAAATTGCCTTCCCAAAGCCAGCATATGAGGCCCACGTGTTGCTGTTGAATTGTGTCTCCCCAAAACTCATATGCAAAATCTCAACTTCCACGACCTCAGAATGAGCACTTATTTAGAAATAAAGTCATCGCAGGTGTTAAGGCCATACCTGAGTGACATGTGCTCCTTTCTTATCCGGTATAGCATGTCTATAAAAAGGGGAACTTTGGACACAGACACACTGAGAAAGAACACCGTGTAAAGAATGGCAGTATGCTGCCGCAAACCAAGGAAATCCCAGAAACTGAGAGGCCTGGAACAGGTCCTTCCTGAGCATCTTCGGAGAGAACTTGGCTCTGGAGACTCCATTTCAGACTTCTGTCCTCCACAATACGTCATGAAGCAGCTCTCCTTGTCATACTTTATTACAGCAGCCCCAGTAAAGTAATCCGTTGTCCGCATCCTTCATCACTCTGAGTCAGCTAACTTGGTATTAAGTATCAAGGGGACCAGGTGGTGGCGGTCGCAGTGGCAGCAGTGCATGTCTTTAATCCCAGCACTCAGGAGGCAAAGGCAGGCGGATCCCTGTGAGTTCCAGGCCAGTCTTCAGCCTGGTCTACAGAGCGAGTTCCAGGACAGGCTCCTAAGCTACAGAGAAACCCTGTCTCCAAAAAAAGAAAAAAGAAAAAAAAAACAAGCAAACAAACAAAAGTCTTAAGGGAGCCATCTCTTATTGGAAACAGTCTAGGATGGCCCCTTTCATCTTCCTTCTATCCTCCCTCACAGCCAACCCATTAGCCCTAGGGTGCTGGATTCTGTAACACACAATGTCCCTTACAGATCCCACTCCTGAGTTGATGCTGAACATAGGTTCTCCTCTTGCTAGGAGGAAACACCCAACTGGTCCTTTGGAGACCCTCACCCTACCCAGAGATGAGAACTTCAATATCAACTCTACAAGCATCTCCCTGTATCATCTATATCTCTGGGATGATGAAGTAAACCCTGCCCCACAAAAAAAAAGGGTCTTTATGAGCCCATGTTCGTTTGTCATTCTGAGTCAGGGTAAGAAGGAGACGCTGACACCCACCCCTTCTTTCCTAGCAGCTCCATCTATCTGACATAACGATTCTTTCATTACGCTTGCAGAGCTGGTATTCTGCCTCCAGCATTCCTGTCCTCGTCAGTCCCACACTGTCAGTTCTGATGGGGTCTTCATTACTGTGACAAGAGTGGTCCATGCATGCACCAAGGATGGCCACTTCGGTGTGTGTCAGCTACCAGCTCAGAGCCTGTAGATGCTTAAATGTTGGGTGATAGCAAAGGCAGAAGAAGCCAGTGACAGACAGGTTCAAAACAATAGCTACCCCACGCACCCTCCCTCACAATCCAGTCTGATTTGAACTTTTGACTTGCATGCTGGTGCCCCAGAATTATTTCCTGGTACATGAAACACAGCCACAAACCATGTCCTTTGATCCATTTTGTCATCCAGACTTGGAGATACAAGTACACTGTGTAGACAGAAGTTTCTGTCCCCCCCCCCCGGTCCTGCGGCCATTCAGTCCCAAAAACACACAGAGACTTATATTAATTATAAACTGTTTGGCCTATTGCTCAGGCTTATTATTAACTAGCTCTTACACTTAACCCATAATTCTTATCTATGTTTAGCCATGTGGCTTGGCACCTTTTCTCAGTAAGGCATTCTCATCTTGCTTCATTTCTGACTTGCAACTGAGTCCCTGCCTTTCCTTTTCCCAGAATTCTCCAAGTCTGGTTGCCCCACCTATATTTCCTGCCTGGCTACTGGTCTATCAGCATTTTTTTTTTTAATATTTATTTATTATGTATACAATATTCTGTCTGCATGTATGCCTGAAAGCCAGAAGAGGGCACCAGATCTCATTACAGATGGTTGTGAGCCACCATGTGGTTGCTGGGAATTGAACTCAGGACCTTTGGAAGAGCAGGTGATGCTCTTAACCTCTGAGCCATCTCTCCAGCCCAATCAGCATTTTATTAAACTAAATCTTTACACTTTTTTTTTTGTCACTTTACCAAGTGACAAATCTTTACAGTGCACAAGAGCATTATCCTAGAGCAACACTGTTTTCAGAGTTCCCTACAATTGGCCCAGTGTGGGGAGTGGGGAGCTGTAGACCTTCAGGCCATGAATATTTTTTAAAATATTTATTATGTATTCAGGGTTCTGCCTGCATGTATCCCTACAGGCCAGAAGAGGGCACCAAATCTCATTACAGATGGTTGTGAGCACATGTGGTTGCTGGGAATTGAACTCCGGACCTTTAGGAAGAGTAGGCAAAGCTCTTAACCACTGAACTATCTCTCCAGCCCCAGACCCTGAACTTTCTATGACCTCTTTTTTGCCTGCTGAAGTAAACAACTTGTGTTTCTATGCTTGCAGCTGCTCTGAGCACAGAACCCTCATGAGTTCCTGATAACAGGGAAGTGGTTTCTGGTGGGCTTGCAGTAGAAAATCCCCAGAGCTAGGGCTTGGCCATTTAGTCAAAGAGAGCACTATATAAGCTGTCTGGGAACATAATAAAATTGGCATTCTTGCTTCAAGAGTGACCCATGTCTCATGTGTTCTTTAATCCCCAGACCCTTGCCCAACCCTGGTTCCAGGTAGTACAAGTGCCATGACCCAGTAGCTCAATAGGCTATACTATATTTCTCTTATAACCGTTCCCTAGAATGGCTTGGTCTTGGGATCCAACATGTTAGAATGTAAACCAGTAAAAAATGTATTTGTCATCTATGACACCCTAAATCTTTAAAACCTGTTGCCATGTTTTGGTCATTTAAGTCCTCTCTTGCCAAGGTAGAAGTTAGAAAACCATGTATCAACTCCCTTGTAGCTAGGTTAAGACACTGACCTGAGTTCCAACAGTCAGACTCACGAGTACAAGTTCTGAGTTCAGAAGGGAGTGATATGCATTGAGGACACCACCTCAAAGTAAGAATGGAGTGGAATTGAGTGATTATTATCAGGGTTTTGATGACCAATGATGTCATTATTTCTGCTACAGAAACTGTCATGGGCCGGGCGGTGGTGGCGCACGCCTTTAATCCCAGCACTCGGGAGGCAGAGGCAGGCGGATCTCTGTGAGTTCGAGACCAGCCTGGTCTACAAGAGCTAGTTCCAGGACAGGCTCCAAAACCACAGAGAAACCCTGTCGCGAAAAACCAAAAAAAAAAAAAAAAAAAAAAAAAAAAAGAAACTGTCATGGTGGCTGGTCATGGTTCTTAGCTCTCTATTCCTCCCCAAATACTATAAAATATACACTATTCTTTCATAAATGCCTCTCCGGTTTAAATTCACAGTTGGTTGCAACTAGGCAAACTGGCTGGTACAATCAGGACAAAGGCTCGGAATCCAGGTCAAAGGCAGATCATCAGACAGCAATGGTACTGACATTAGGGAACAGGCAGAGAATGTGAGGCTGTGGCCCTCAGCGTTCCCTCTACTCTTGTGATGATTGCTATTGCTATGTCTTATCATCCCCATCCTTTCTCTTTGGAATTTTTTATTATACTATACTGTATTCATTTATTTGGAGGGTGGGGGGACAAGACATGGTGTTTGAGCAGTGGTCAGAAGGCAACCTATGAAAGTTGGTTCTCTTCCTCCACTGTATGGGTCCTAGAAATTAAACTCAGATTGTCAGGTTCAGGGAAGCACCTTTACCATCTCACCAGCTCCTAGCCCTTACTCTGTAAAAAAAAAAAAAAAAAAAGATTTAGATTTAGATTTTGTATGTGTGTGTATAAGTATATTCCTTATATGTACGTATGAATAGCATGTGCATGCCTTTGGAGGTCAGAAGAGGGCACTGGATCACCTGGAACTGGTGTTATGAATGGTTATGAGTCTGTGGATGCTGGAAACTGAACTCAGGTCACCTGCAAAAGCAACAAATGGCTCTTTTACCGGGACCCGTCAACATGGGCCGCATCTGCACCAAGACCATGAAGAAGGCGGCCCGGGTCATCATCGAGAAGTACTACACGCGCCTGGGCAATGACTTCCACACCAACAAGCGCGTGTACAAGGAGATCACTATCATCCCCAGCAAGAAACTACGCAACAAGATAGCCGGCTATGTCACGCATCTGATGAAGAGGATTCAGAGAGACCCTGTCAGGGGTATCTCTATCAAACTGCAGGAAGGAGAGCGAGAAAGGAGGGATAATTACATCCCTGAGGTCTCAGCCCTGGATCAGGAGATCATTGAGGTAGATCCTGACACCAAGGAGATGCTGAAGCTTCTAGACTTCGGCCGTCTCTCCAACCTGCAGGTCACTCAGCCTACAGTGGGGATGAATTTCAAAACACCACGTGGAGCCTTTTGAGTCTGTTCTGTCATTTTCAATAAATCTGAAAATTAAAAAAAAAGCAACAAGTGCTGCTATCTACTGGACCATCTCTACACACACACACCTGCCCTGCCATACACACACACGTCACGCTTTTTTAAATAAAGTTTTACTTTTCTAAATGTGCAGTTGGTTGAATCTGCTCAAGCATCTTCACCAGCAGTTGGGGTAGCTCCACCTTTGGTATTTCTGATGTAAATTACTTGGACTCTGAGTTTGGCACATCCTTTACTAAGTAGCTCCAGGGGAGTTGTCCTGGCAAAGGAACCAGAAACATTCCGCCTCTCAGAGCCCACCACAGGAGTGATAAACTTACAGATGGGAACTTCCTTACAGTTTGTCATCCGTGGCTTTGTCAATGGGGCTGGAATGTTGAGCTTGCCATGAACTTGGTTTTTGGGTCTCTTCCTTTTGGCTTTTCTCTCAGACCTGTTTACTGGGCCTTTTTCTTTCTTGGCCAACTTTCCAGCATCTTTCTTCTTGTCACCTGTCCTTGGGTATCACAGTGGAGCTCAAAGAGTATCAGCACCCTCTGCAACCGCGCTATGATGCAGGACAAAAGGCACATCCTTTACTCTTAAAGCAAACAGTCAAGATAACTTTTTGCCCTAAAATTTAAGGGGTACCTTCTGACTTACAAAGCACTGTGATAGTCTCGTGGTCCCGCACAGCAACCCTCTACTTGACAGGTATAAAAAAAGAAAGAAAGAAAGAAAGAAAGAAAGAGAGAAGAAAGAAAGAAAGAAAGAAAGAAGGCTCAGATGGGGGGGGCCACACACACTTTTAATTCCAGCACTTAGGAGGTAAAGGCAAGTGAGTCTTTGTGAGTTCGAGGCCAGCTTGGTCTACAAAGTGAGTTCCAGGACAGGCTCCAAAGCTACACAGAGAAACCCTGTCTTGAAAAACAAAACAAAGCAAAACAAAACAAAAAAGCTCATGAAGTATAAACAGCTTGCTCAAGATTCAAGACCCAGAGGCAACACAGCCAAAGGAGCCCCAGAGCTCTGGCATAGTGTCTAACATTTAGCCCTAAAAAATCACAGTATGCTACCCCCACACACACATGTCTCAATGCCCTTATGAAACTGCTAAACCTTCCAAGCCAGGTGCAAAACTGAACTGCATCACTTCCTCCCCAGGTGTATTTTTCAAGACTATCTTTGCTATTAGAGACGACAGAGGTGAGAAGTTAACAATGAGATCCCCGGGGCCACGTGACCTGAGATCATATGCCAGCCTTGGCCACTTGATAACTGCTTGAGCAAGTTATTTATCACTGTTCCTGGCTCCCGGTTTCTCCAGCAGTGACAACGAGGTCGTTGAGAGGAAAAGTGGGTTTGTCTGTGAATAGCACAAAGAACAGTGACTTTGACACATGGTGGAGCTCAGGAAACATTAGCCGGTCCAAAGCTGCTGAGCCTTCAGAGTCCTCGGCCAAGCATGTGAAAGGACGGTGTTTACACACAGGAAATAAACGCACGTTAGCTTATGTTAACACGCAAGAGCTCTATGTTTAGGGCCATAATAAATTTGCCAATCATGCAAACCCCCCAAAGGCAGGGAGAGCCAGAATGGCTTTGACCTCCATCAGGTAGTTTCTGACACTCTTTATTGAAAGCAACATTTTTGTTGTTGCTGTGAATTTCCTGGGGGTGTGAACCAGAGCTTTACACGTGCTAGGAAAGCACCCCACCACTGAACTGTACCCCAACCCAATAAAGCAATTCTTGCATTGCTAATCCTAAATTTTGACAGTGAGTATGGTTTCATTGAGCCCAGATTGTCACTTAGACTCTTACCAGAATTATCCCATTGCTTCCCAGAGGGTTGTGTTCAGGGCCAGCAGCTGCTGAGTGGGTTAGTGAACAGGCTTTTACAGGTACGGTGGCACTGAGGAAGGCGTCAGGCTCTGGAGTTAGAGATGTTGTAATTTAATACCACTTCAACCCTTGGCATGGAGCAGGGGGCTCAGTATTCGTATTTACTAGTGTTGTTACTGTGCAGTGGTTTATCTCATCCCAGGCACCTGGCCTTGACTTTGCACACTACCACTGTCCCTGAGGGTCATCTTTCCCAGCAGATGACCTTCCAGACCAGCCTTCCTGACGTGTTTGTGTCAGGACAACATCCTGAGAGATGAAGCCTTGCGCTGTCGTGCTCTTGGGTCACCCCTGAATGAGCGGCCTGCTTGAGTTTTGTTTTGAGGAAACAGGTGGGAAAGAAGGCAGAAACAACCTACCAGCAGCACCACAGGAAGTTCCCATAGGAAGAAAAAAGAGGTGGGCTGGCAAAAGAATGAGATCTTGGCCAGAAAAAAAGGGAGGGGAAGAGATCTTTGCCCTCTCCAGTCCGCAAAACAGAAGGAGGTTCCCCTAAGGCATAAAGGGAAGAGTCGGGTCAGGGAATCCTGCCAAATCCACAGGACAGAAGCCAAGTTCAAACCCACCCATTCTCCCTATCTTCCATGCCATGGGTTGTGTATACTTTTGATTGCGGTCAACAAGCAAGCACTACCTTTTATTATGAAGCATCTACATCAAGTACCATGAAGGAAAGGCCCAGTAACACAGGAGATTCAAGAGGCAGGACTAAATCCACCCTCTTTAAGGTGACAATTAGGCAACAACCTGAAGGATATGCCACCAACAATGTATGAAAAGATTGGAGCCTGAACAGGATAAGCATTTCATAAGGCCTAAGAGGTGACAGGGTTAAGAGAGACAGCAGAGGTCCTATCTGTAGACAGAGGGTCCAAATGAGATCACTTTAGTAACCTACCCCATCTTTCTCACCTGCAAAATGTAGATCTTCCCCAGCGCAGCCATAATAATATCAAAGGAATGCTGAGTGCACAGACCAGCACCAAGTATGTCCTTAAACACAGTCACTATGCAATTCATGTCAGTTCAGACCTGTAATCCCAGTACTCAGAAGGCTGAGACAGGAGGATCTCAAGTTCATGATCTGCCAGAGTTACATAACCAAACCCTGAAAGAGAAGGGTATCTGGTTTCTTCCTGCATCCCTCCCACACCCAAAGCCAGCACCTCTGAAGAGGTCAGTAAATATCCGTGGAGCTGAAAGCAAGTGCACACATAATTATAGTAACTAATAAACTAAAGAATGTTTGCTGTGGCAGCCAGAGCAAGTCCACAATGATCAAATGACAAAAGGATAGGCCGAGAAAAAAAAAAGACATGCCCTGACTCATCCTATCTCCAGAAGTGTCTGAGTTTTCTCCGAGGCATGCTGGGGAAATGTCCACTCATAAACACATGGGCAATAAGACGCAAGCATCCACTCTTCCAATTACAGAGAACATTCCTAGGCTCCTGGGTGCTGTGGAATACTATTTTATGTTACACTTGTTCATGCTGCAGAATACTAACTATGTGAGGCTATGCTGCCTTTGGTTATTTTGGTTAGGCTGCATTTGTTCAATTATGTAAAGACGTGTTGCTGCTTCAATTTGTCTACCTAAGACACTTGACTGGTCTAATAAAAAGCTGAACGGCTAATAGCTAGGCAGAAAAGGGAAAGGTGGGGTTGGTGGGCAGAGAAAATAAGTAGGAGGAAAAAAATCTAGGCTAGAATGAAAGACAAGAGGAGAGAAAAAGAGGAGATGCCTGGGGCCAGCCTGGCAGCAATCAGCCAGCAGACACAGAGCTGGACACACAGAAAAAAAGCCCTGAGAGAAAACATAGATGAAGAAAAACAGGTTAAGTTCAAAGAGTTAGCAAGGAATGAGCCTAAGCTAGGCCGAGCATTCATAACTAATAAGAAGTCTCCATGTCATGATTTGGGAGCTGACTGATGGCCCAAAAAGAGAAAGGCTGCTCCACCTGGGTGACACTTAGCAGGTGGGCTTCATATCCAGCATTCACTGAACACACTAATGTTTTCACGATACTTCCAAGTATAGTCTACTACACCTCTGTGAAGTAGGTAGGTTATTGGTTAGTCTCAGTTCCACACTGCAGATAGCAAGCACGGGGAAGTTATTTGCCCACAGCTAAACAGTGAATCATAAAACTAAGGCATAGTTCTCAACCGTGTCCTTTCTACACCACACTGAAGCAGCCCGGTCTACAAAGAGTTCCAGGACAATCAGAGCTACACAGAGAAACCCTGTCTCAAACAAAACAGAACAAAAAAGTAAACCCTCAAGCCAGAAGAGGTGCCACACACCTTTAATCCCAGCATTTGGAAGGCAGGTGCAGGTGGATCTCTGAGTTCAAGGACAGCTTGGTCTACAAAGCAAATTCCAGGACAGTCAAGCCTATACAGAGGAACCTTGCCTCAAAAATGAAAAAATAAACAAAAAGGAAGGAAGGAAGGAAGGAAGGAGGGGGGGAGAAAGGGGGGGAGAGAGAAAGGGAGGGAGGAGAGGGAGGGAGGGAGGCAAGAAAGAAAGAAAGAAAGAAAACCCACTTTCCCCTTCCCTGCTCCTTTTATGCCTTCAATGGAAGACGCAGTACAGTGGTGTGGTTCTTTCAGCATCTTCTCTGCACCACTTTTCAGGGGCCACCAGGCCCCTGTTGAGTGTTCTTCACAGCAGCCTAAGGCCAGACAGAGGCCAGCCAATCGATAAGGGCCTGCTGCTGGGCAGGCGGGGGTGGGGAGGGCAGACAGAATGGACCAATTGATCTCTAGGGACAGCCAGAGCATGTGAGGCAAGTGACTCCTGAACTAGGCCTACAGCTAGCAAAGCCATCGCCCTTACCCAGAGCACAGCTACCTGGGGTCCTGCCTTCCGGTGAGGCACAAAGCTAAAGGGTGAAATACCTCCTTAAGTGGTGCCGGCCTCAGGCCTGAGAAGCATCTTCTGGGTCAGAAAGCAAGAGCACCTTTCACAAGGCTGCCAAGGCTGTCATTGTTAAACAAGACCGCCCTAGAAACTGGAAGACCTTTCCCTGACTCCCCAGGCTCACACTTCCTTGCACATCAGCCTAAATGCCTCATGGCAGATTCTTCTGT